TGAGGAAAAGCAGACTGAAGTTGAATCCAGACAAAATGGAGGTACTTACAGTTGCAGTCCCAAAACCATATCTGGGAATACAACTTCCAGTCCTGGATGGGGTCACACTCTCCACCAAGGACTATGTTCACAGTCTGGGATGCTCCTAGACCTGTCGCTCCAGATGTCAAATCAGATAAATGCGATGGATAGGAGCGCCTGCTATCAGCTTCAGCTGATAGCTGCACCCTTTTCTGGAAATTAGGGATCTTGAAACTGTGGTACATGCACTGGTAACCTCACCTCTTGATTTCTGTAATGTGCTTTAAATGGGGCTACACTTGTACCTAACCCGGAAACTTCAATTGGTGCAGAATATGGCAGCCAGGGTGGTCTTGGGAACATCCAGGAGAGACCACATTACACCTGTGTTGAAATCACTTCACTGGCTGCCGATTAGTTTCCGGACACAGTACAAGGTGTTGGTTATGACTTTTAAAGCCCTAAATGGCTTGGGTCCAACTTATCTCTGGGACCACCTCCTTCCGTACAATCCTCCCCGCGCACTCAGATCCTCTGGGAGGAATCTGCTACAGTCTATTAAAACAAGGTTGGCTGCAACCTCCCAGAGGGCCTTCTCTGCTATCGCTCCAGTACTGTGGAATGACCTGCCGGACGAGATCCGTCTTATTACCACCTTGAACAGCTTTAAAAAGGCTGTTAAGATGGATCTTTTCTGGCAGGCCTTTCCTGAATAGTTTTCCCGGCCCCTTGTCCTAGATTAATCCTTCTTCCCCCTTTTTGTGCTGCTGTTACTATGATTGTTATGTTATTAAGTTTGTTTTATATTGTTCTTTGTTTAATATCTTTTTAAGAGGTGGGAGGGTATGTATTTTATCTTGGTTTTAATACTGTAAGCTGCCCCGATTGCATCGCAGAGGGGCGGGATAATAATAATAATAATAATAATAATAATAATAATAATAATAATAATAATAATAAATAATGTACATGCCTTCCTCTTCTTGCTAGTCCCACTTGCAGCAGCCATGTCCATCCTCAGTCTACAGTATACATGGATTGCACTGCCAGGAGGTCTGCAAGGAAATCTGCATTCAGAATCTGAGGATGCAAGTATGCATTGTTGCTTCACTGCATGTGCAGAATGTCACACTGCTGCTAGGCTGACAGCCAGTGTAGTCAAGTGGCACAGTACCAATAGGGAATAACATAACTGATGGTAGGGAGAGTGTTTCCTGACACAGTGTCTTCTCTTGTCCCTTTCATCAAGTGGTCAACAGTGTCAAAACTTGACAGGATTAACTATCTGTTTCGTGGGCGAAAGCACTGCTACCCAACCTGCTGTTGTTGTATGAGTGGCATTTGAGATCTGGGTCTTTTCACATACATTTGCATTGTCAATTTCTTCCCCAGCCCCTGTATCAGACCCCTTCCAAGATACTTTAAATGAATTTCCTGAAAGCTAATAGAGTGCAACTCATACGACACTATTAGAATTATTTTCTCCCGCCTCCCTACACCTTATTTAAGTAGGTTGCTTGTCCTCATAGTTTTACTTTGTATTTTTTTTTCTTTTAAAATAATGGAATACCTATTGAAAGCTCCAAGGCAAGAACATTTTTTTTCAAAACACCGGATTATATTTATTCAAGCCTCACTTAAATAACAACACCCTAATCTCGTGATGTGATGGATTGATGCATGACTTTTTAGATATAAATCCAGCAGCTCTGTTATAGAAATGTCATAAATCCATCTGTCTAAAATGACACACTTAATTATCTCTTTTTCTAACATTCTCCCCCCTCCCCCCAGAAGCATTGGTATGAAGACTTTTGAGCCCAGTTGATGTATTCTATATTGGATTGTTGGTTACATGGAGAGAGTATACAAAATACCCATGTGAGTAAGTGTAACTGAGCACAGTTGCTAGTGGAAGGTGCTTGATCCATAAAGGTGACATCCTTGCAAAAAGGACTAGTGCAGTGCCTGGACCTCATACTGTTCAAGGGTACTCCAGCCCTCAGAAAGACACTTTCAGAGATCTCAAAATGGAAAGGGGAAATGTGAGTTCCTCTAGATCAGGGGTAGGCAACCTTTCCCCTTTAAGGGCCAAGGGACTTCAGCTCCCAGAAGCCTCAGCCATGTTGGCCAATAGTCCCATGTTAGCCAATAGCTCCTGGGATTCTGGGAGCTGAAGTCCCTCGGCCCTTAAAGAGGAAAGGTTGCCTACCCCTGCTCTAGATACTGCTGGACTGCAGCTCTTATGAATGCATACCCTCCAACATTTCACTGCAAAAATGGGGACAGGTGTGTCCACTTATTAGATTGTAGTCAAAATGAAGAGGAACACACCAGCTAGGAGAAGCTGTGGAAGTTTGCCTGAGCCTACTAGGACCTGGGAAAACTACCTCTGAGGATTCCTAGAGTAAGAAAACCCTATGAAATTTAAGGGGTCACCACAAATCGACAGAGACTTGAAGGCACATATCATGCACACTAGGAAAGCAAGATTTCTTCCTCACTCTCCTCTCTCTTCCTGCTGAGTTCATTGAGTGTATGGGCCAGGATACTCTCAGGGCAGCCCGGAGTATCCTGGCCTGACATCTGCCCTGATATCCTGTCACCTGGCCCTCCATTCCCATGCCATGGCAGCTGTCTGTATAGCTGTCCTGCTGAGCCACTTGGTGCTACTTGATTGTTTCTGAGATCAGGGCAAGGTCTGAACAGAACAATGCCAGAGCAGGAGCGATAACTGCCATGACTCTATCCTATACAATCCTGGGATTTGTAGTTTGGTGAAGCACCAGAACTCTCTGATAGACCAGGCTGAATATCTCACCAAACTATAAATCCCAGGATTCATTAGGATACAGTCATGGCAATTAAAGTGATGTCAAACAACAGAGTCCTGAGGCACTTTAACAACTAACTAATTTATTGTGGCCTGAACTTTAGCAGAGTGTAGACAACTCCATGAGTCACACCTCTTCGTGTTCACACCTTTACTGTCTTAGAAATCATATGAAGCAGGAAAATGTGCACTTCTATCACCACCAACCACCATAGAGATATAGAAGCTGTCCCCAACACCCACCTCACCATCTGCCAGACACATACTTCTCCATGGGCAACAGGCGGGCATAGGTTTCTCCCCTTGGGCACGTTGTAGCAGCATACAAAAGCACAACTCAGGGTTGGTTCACATCAGTGTTGGCTGTGGGATTCTGAGGATTATAGTGCAAAGGAGGAACTTTCCCAGACTCTGGGTACACAGGTTTGTGGACATAGTTTTATTCTTCTTTGTGGGATTGCCAGTATGAAAACTCAAGAGGATTCCTATACTTTTAATGACTCTATAGAAGAGGGAATTTCGCCAGGTGCTGTTTGTTACCTGGTTGTGTGACAAGCAACACCTGGAGAAATTCCCTCTTCTACCCAACCATTAAAGGGACAGGATTTTCAATATGGCAATTCTAATTTGATTCCTGGTATAATTTATGTGGGCGAGCCAGTGTGGGGTAGTGGTTTGAGCATTAGACTATGAGTCTGGAGAACAGGGTTCAAATCCTTGCTTGGACATAGAAACTCACTAGGTGACCTTGAGCAAGTTACCCTCTTTCAGCCTCAGAGAAAAAGGCAAAACCCCTCTGAACAAATCTGGCCAAGGAAACCTCCATGGACCTTAGGATTGACATAAGTCAGAAATGACTTGAAGGTACACAACAACAAATTACAGTTGGCCCTCTGTATCCATCAATTTTTTTTATCCATGGATTCAAGCATCCACAGCTTAGAACTATTTCCCCAAAACATAAATTCCAAAAAGCAAACCTTGATTTTGCCATTTTATATGGGTCACCATTTTACTATGCCATTGTATTTAATGGGACTTGAGGATCCATGGATTTTGGTATCTATGGGGTGTGTGGTCCTGAACACACACACACACACACACACACACCAGACACAGCAAATACCAAGGGCCCCACTGTATGTGTGGACTGACCCTACTGAGGAAGCAGATTTGTGGTTGAGGTGATTTTAAAATTGTGATTGTGACATAAGATCTGTTATGGCTAGTTCATAGGGGCCAATCATCCCTCAAGAGTAAGGATTTCCTCTGATGAACCTATGTAGACAGCCTTTCCTCTTGATGAAGTCTCTGTGGCTCTATTTATTAAATTAAGCTATATTTATTATAGCTTAAATATTTGCTATTTCCTTCTTCTTCAGATGACTTGCCAGATGCTAATTTAGGCTGTTATTATGGATGTTTAAAAAGGGATTAGTGAGGGAGCCCACCAGCACTGAAGACAGGAACATCAAGAAAGAGAGCCACAAGAAGAAGCTATAGACATTTGTCCTGGCAATGGTAGCAAGTCTCATATGAAAAGAGGAAGGTGAAGAAATGTGTAACCTTCCAAAAATTCAATTTTCAGTCTTCAAAGAAACATCTATTTTAAAAACAGATGCTGTCCAAAATTGAGATTGCGATTGAGATTATACAGCAATATTTATTTCACTCATAATCTCCTTGAAGCAGAGACTTGTGTTTTATAAAAGATTATACCATTGTTCATCTACCATATATGATGCTGGTGTGTCATCATCAAGATATATGGGGTATGGGTGTGTATGCAACACTCCTTCCTGCCTTCCCAAAACTCCCCGGTATGGACTGAGTGCTATAAAGAAAATACAAAAGGAAATTACAACCAGTATCAAAAGTACAAAAATGCAACTGACAACTCTGAGGGAGCCAAGATTGGTTGCATTACCTACCCCTAATGTTGTGCCATGATCTCTAGAAGATTGTCTATGGAATGTTGTATGACCTGGCCTGAAGAGTTCTCACTCCTGGAAAATGTTGGAACAAAGAAAGTGTTCATCTTTCGCAGAAAACAAAAGAGAAAATACCAAACCCAAGGCCAGGTAATACCATTCTTTTTGGACCAAGTATGTGCAAGATTATGAGTGTCTTTATTACCTCTTGCCTAATGAGCAGAACGGGGAATGTCAAAACTCTGTCCTTAGTTTTGTGTTATGTTTGTTTGGCTCAGATAAAAAGTATTGCCTGACTGTAGATTTGGGAATTCATCCTTAGTAGGAGATAATACTGTAGACAAATGCATGGATGTGATCATCCAATTTAATGTTTCATTTTTTTAGGACTGAGCCTGAGCAAGGAAATCAGCTGCCAGAGTGGAGTTCCGCTTCAAACAAACCCTTGGCGTAATGAAATGTTCAAGCATCCTTCCTGAATACCCTTCTCATTCATTCAAAGACATATTTTCCTTGGAGGAAATCTCCTGTCTATCAGAGTAGCTTGGCAGTCTTAACAGGATATGCACTTCCTGATTCCCCCACCCAATCTTTGCCACCACCCTTTGAAACTACCTTTTGAAACTGCATCCTGGAGGTCCAAGAAAACTTTCCTTAAATAGAGAATCTTCTCCATCCCACCCATGCTGGTCTGTGTCAGTAACTAGTCAGCCTTGTCTGTGTGCTTCTCTGTGCTGTGATTGGGAAGGCCCTTTGCTTTGATTTGTTTCATTACATCTGGGATAGGAATCATGAGCCTCCCCCCCGGTGTGGGATTGTAACTCCCAGCATTCCTCATCATTGGCTATGTTAGTAAAAGCTGCTACGATTTGCAGTCCAGCAATACCTGGAGGGCTGTGCTATGCCCACCCCTGTGTTTATATGGGAGTGTAAGGCAAGAGGGCCAGGTCTGGCCTGATCATTAGGGAGAATGAGGCAGTCACCTCAAGTAGTGGATGTTGGGTGGTGAGGAGCAGCAGAGATCTAAAAATTACCTTTTTGAACTATAACTCTCAAGAATCCCCCAGCGAGCACAGCCGTTGATGGGGGGGTTGTTTCTGGGAACAGTAATGCAAAGAGTAACTTTTTTGAGCTTTGCATGGATTAGTTTTTGGTAGCAACCTCATGACAAGTTTAGCCTTCATCCCTGTTGTGCTTTTAAGTGCATCCTTTGACTGTGTCTAGGGTTGCCATATCTCAATTCTGGGTGGGACAATCCCAATTTTTCAGGGTCTTTGAATGTCCCAGCCCATTTTTAGGACATGTCCTGGCTCCCGGCTCCCGGCTTTTTGCCTCTCCTCCTCTTCCAGCCTCTCTTTCCCAGGAGGCAGTGGCCAACCAGTCAAACAAACCCCAAAGACATCCAAGGGGCAAGGTCTCCCTGGCCCGGCTACGTGGGCAGCCAGCCAAACCATGGGAAGGTCCAGGAGATCCCAATCCCAGGGAGATCTAGCCCCAAGGTTTAAATTATTAATATTAATATTAATATTAAAGTTTTATATTTATATTTAATGTTTTATTAATGTTTTTTATTTTAATAATGTTTTTGGTTTTTAGTTGGTTGTGTCTTCCATTTTTCTCAAATGTCCTACATTTTGTCCCAGTTTTGTGGAAGAGAATAATGGCAACCATAACTGTGTCCCATAGCTGAATGGCTTCCATGTGCTGATATGACAATAACTAATGTGCTACTCTTGGGACCAGCTCAAGACGTGTTGCTCCCTGAGCCATAGGACAAACATGGCCCTGCCCCCCCCCCTTAAATTTCACTTTCACAAGCAATCTGGCATGTGGAAACAGGGTAGCATCCTCTGCCACACCCAACAGCAGAAAGCTAGTTTGGCACACATGGATCTATCCCTTGAGAGAGGGGAATGGCCACCATGCCACTCTTGCTCTTTCCAAGAACTGCTAGATGTGGTAGTTGCCCCACTCTCCTAATGGTAGGGCCAGAACATCCTGCAGGTTCCAACCTGAAGCCCACATCCCCTGCTTGCTGGCTACATGGCTGGAGTTGAAAAAGGCCTCAGGCTGAAACCCTGTGTGTCCATTGGCACTGGGAAGGATGGTGAATATGGTCCCCAGGGTTCCTTGGTGACCAAGGATGGTGGGTGCAACTAAGTGTGATATAACAGCCAGTGATAAAGAGAAAGATACATTGGCCATGTGCCCTTGCTCCAATTTAATCCTGCTCTGCATATACACAGCAGCATATGCAGGCAAATTGTATCAACAGACATTTTAGTAGCTGAAATAGTTGTGCTGATGCCACTGTTCCTGGTTGTTCTCTTACTTCCACCAACCAGAGAAAGATGCAAAAAGCAGGAAGAGACCACCTCTTTTTAAAAGCAGCATCTATCTCTACCTCTACTTCTACCTCTATCTCTGTCTGTTTCCATTTCATTTCTAAATATATCTGTGGATGTAGCCACATTGCAGAAACAAAGCAGTTTGACACCACTTTAACAATCATGACTCTATCCTGTGGAATCCTGGGATTTGTAGTTTGGTGAGGTACTCAGCCTGGTCTGCTAGAGAGCTCTGGTACCTATCCAAACTACAAATCCCAAGTTTCCACAGAATAGAGTCATAGCAATTAAAGTTGTGTCAACCTGCTTTTAATTCTGCCGTGTGGCTACCACCTATATATATATTTATAACAATCTATATCTATATAACATATGATACATAGGACCAAGAAAGGCATAACATTTTAGCCATGCTTACAAGCCAAAGTATATACTACTATTACCATAACTACTACTAGATGAGTCTCCTTTAGCCAAAATACTTGGGACCAGAAGTGTTTTGGATTTTATCTTTTCAGATTTTGGAATATTTGCATTTACTCAATGAGATATCGTGGAGATGAGACCCAAGACTAAACATATCATTCATTTATATGTGTATACATAAATGTATACATTTATGTGTGTATACATAAAGTGTATACACCTTATACATATAGGCTGAAGGTAATTTTCTACATAATATTTTTAATAATTTTGTGCATGAGACAAAGGAGATTATCAGATAGGGGAAAATCAGAGAAGAACAAGGCATACTCCCAGGATAGTTGCGCAACTGCACTGAAGATTTTCAGATGATGTCACACTTTTCCAGGACTTATCCCAGGAAGAACCAGGGGTTCTCCAACAACAAACCATTTCTGGTACTTCCCCATGAATGGTTTGTTGCTGGAGCATTCCTGGATCCTCACGGGAGAAGTCCTGGATAAGCATGACATGTCTGAAAATCTTCAGCACGATTGCATGACTTTGCCAGGAGTATACCTTTTACTCCTGGCTTTTTCCCCAGGTCTGAAAATCTCCAAAGTTTGTATACACTGAACCATCAGTTAGCAAAGGTGTTCCTATTTCAGCCACCCATAAAAAAAAGTTTTGGTTTTTGAGTATTTCAGATTCCAGAATTCTGGATAAGTGAGACTCAACCTGTATAACTAATAATGATAATCATACTTCTACAAGGTTTATACAAATGTGTTGATGACAATGCCTATCTCCCTTCCCAACATAACCCAAACATGGAGAATAAGGCAGTAAGCCTTTCTCCAAGTCAGATGCAATGTGTCCCATAGTACAGCTGGAAATGTACAGCAAATTACTAACCCCACAGGGACTATGATTGCATTTGAGCTTAAATACTGTGTTCTCAGCACTGTTCAAGATTATACAGCTCACCAAAGGGTAATTAATTCAGCCTAATTTATTACCTGCAATTACAAGTTCATTATTTAC